CCGGCCTCTAGATCATATTTCTGACTCTGCCATTGCAAACGAAGACAATACATTTATTGTGTCGGATTCATAAAAACATGTTGCGTGTCTGAATTTAGCCAAGTTATTGTCTTAAAAGGACGGATAATTTTGAGACAATATTTAAGTCAAATTATTCATATATATAATTAGGTGAGATAAATGTTAATTCAACTAAGGCATAGAGATTTATTGATTTAAAATTTGAAACGTCAAATAGCTAATGAGCAAACAATACATTTTTATTAAAATTTGAGAATACAACTTATATTACACATCACTTTTATCCATTTCAAATTTTGATAGTGTTGATTTTTCAGGACTTATAACGTTTGAACCTTAATTAATGAGTTATGTCGGTCATAATATACCAAATAAAGGTGTTTTATGCTCTCTCTACTTGAACTTTCAGGGGATCAAGTGAGTAACAATACACAACTTTCAGTACAGTGAGAAAGTTATGTATTAAAAAAGGTAGAGTAACAGCACAAAATTTTTGAATCCTTTCCAAAAGGGGAAGGATTGCTATTTATATGCAAAGTACAAGGCTCACCTTCTAGCCCAAAGAAGCTTAGTCGGTTAGAAGGCTACATGTGCACAACAATACTTGGGGTGAAAGTCAAGTGATGTCAAGCTGATGTGTGATGATATCAACCCTGTAACTGACTGGTGATGTGACTGATGACGTAAGCTCTTTCAGAGAACTGGATTATGACGTCAGTGGGAGCGCTAGTGATGTAAGCCATGAATATGTACCTTGATGGAACGCCTAGGAAACACCTAACCGTGGCGGATTCAGTCCATTCGCCCTCTTTCATTATCGTCGGCGAGATGTCTACAGTGACAATCATTGGGTTTGAACTCGCGTTCGGTTGCTGGTGATGAGATGTCTACAGTAAAATGAGCCTACTAACGTGAAGTTGAGCTGGTGATGAGACCTCGGCACAGGGCCTCGGTCTGGCTGATATATGACCTCTATTTTTAATTTATTAACGTTGACTTTCATGTTAATATGTGTAAAAGTACAAATATACCCCTCTAGTATGAGTGTGGGAACAAATATATTCATGTTCTATATTTTGGAACAAATATATCCCTGATGTTTATGTGGAAGTTCATATATACTCATGAACTTTTAAAAGATGCCAAAACAGCAAAATACCCCTCAGATTCTTACAAAGAAGCAAATCTACCCTTATTGACTTTAAATAGATAAAATAAATTTTGAAAAATTATACACCAAAAATAAATTATAAATTGAAAAATAAAAATATAAAAATACTTTTGTCCAATTCCCTCTTTTATTATATTTATATCACAATTTAGTATTGTTAGTATAAAATATTATTTCAAAACTTTACTATATATTTAAGATTATTTTGGAAAAGTGTTAACATATGTGTTGTAAAGTAAAAAAAAAATAATAATTTTTTGTATTCTTTGCACGATAAAGTTATTTTATGATGAAAATAGTCCAAGATCACAAAATAGTGAAATTAAAAGATTAAACAAAATAAAAAAAAAAAATCAAAAATGTAACAATGAGTTCAAATTTTCGAAACAAGACTAGAACTAATATTTATGAATTTCAAGTGCTTCATTTACAACGGAAAAATAATAATTTTGCAACTTAAATTTATTGAGTTAATATTTTTACATAAAAATAAATCTTTATTTAGAACTTTTTGTTATTTTTTTGTATTTCAATTTCGAATTTATAATTTATTTAGTGTTTTTTAAGCCAATAAGGGTAGATACACATCATGTAAATATTATACGGAGTACTCAATTTATAATTGATTGACATACTCAAATATGTGTTAATCAAGTTTTCGGGAAGTTGAGTACTTTCAATTTATCAGTAAAGACCCTCTATAAATGAGATGTAGCCACCACTCAAACCCTAGGGTGAGGAGGTGGTCTCAATCAGCTTCAAGGGCGGAAAGAGCATTGCCTCCGACGTTTTCCATTGCTTTAGCATTTTAGAGTTTTGTTTCTCTCAGTTTGAAGGTCGGAGGAGAATTACTCTTCACAATACGGAGTTTATACGTAAGTAAAAAAAATGAATTGTGCACTTGTATGAGTGGTGTTTTATTCCCTAAAATTTTTAGGGTTTTTCTTGTTCTATCAATTTTGGCAGTCATTTTATGGGTGGTTTCTTCTCAAATAAATGATGCAAGTGCTTCCATGGAGTTATGCTATTGTTCAATTGATATTTATGTTACTCATCGAGTTTTATATATGTTTTTCTCAAATCCAATTATGCTTCTCAACCCATATATGATGACACTGTTGATTCACCCTCCTCCAGAACCACCACCACAAGAGGATGGAGTAGTACGAGACTTTTATCAAATTATTAACTACAAGATTGGAATAAAATCACTGGTGTTCAGACAATCGACACAGATTTGCAGGTCCAATGGAATCAACCTACGACGCGACATTAATGGAAACTGATGACTTGTTTCTTTATTATTTTCTTGTGTCGGTTTGATTTGGTAGATTTATAAGTTTTTTACATCACTATAGAAACATGAAGACTTATATGGTGATGTTAAGCTTCAACTTGTCAATTACATGATTAGCGACTTTTGCGGCTCGTTTGTGGGTGGCAGAGTCAAAGTATGATCATCGGACATATGTCTGGGGTTGTTATGATCTTGAGTCTATTTTAATGTTGCTTGATTTGTTAATTTTAATATAGATTATTTCCATTCAAAAACAGTCAATAAGGGTAAATTTACTCTTTTGTAGGAACATGAGGAATATTTTTACACCTCCGTATAAACTTCAGGAATATATTTGTTATAAAAAATAGAAAATGAATGTATTTATTCTCATACTCATGATATCATTTTTTTTATTATCATGCATGTCCCAAGCCAGGATAAAGGAGGAGGGTGTTGTGGTAGGCGCATGATGGCCAACAATATTACTTAGTCACATCTCATGACATGAATCGAAACATGAAAATCGTTACAGCTAGGTCGTCGCCCGTAAGCGACACGTCATCCCTCCGCCTGGGGGTGATGTCAAATATGCAAGGGCGCGCTACGCTTCGTAAGCCTGGGTGTGGTGATAAGAGTGCTAAGGATGCTAGGTCGTCGCCCGGAAGCGACGCGCCACTCCAATGCCCGGGGATGGTATCAAATATGCAAGGGCATGGTGGGAGTCGATGTGGTGCGAAGAAGAAAAGGCAGGATGCTCGATTGCGTTTTGGGACATGGAATGTTGGATCTCTTACGAGAAGATCGTCTGAGATAGCTGAGGTTATGAAAAGGAGAAATGTCAGCATAATGTGCATGCAATAAACTAAGTGGGTTGGAGAAAAGGCACGTGAGATTAATCCCGGAGGTTTTAAGCTGTGGTAGAGAAAGGCACAGAAATGGAGTAGGCATTATGGTGGCACATGATTATGTTGAGGGTGTGGTGGAAGTCTTCAGGAAGAACGACCGCATCATGAGCATTAAGTTGATAATAGGAGATGAGATTGTGTTTGTGATAAGTGCCTTTGCACCACAAGTGGGATTGGATGCATCTATCACTCAACAATTTTGGGGGGATCTTGAGGAAGTGGTGTGACGAGTGCCAAGGGGAGAGAAGTTGGTCATAGGAGGCGACCTCAATGGGCATGTGGGCCCAAGTCGTGATGGTTTTGAGATTTTCCATGGCGGACATGGTTTTGGCACTAGAAATGAAGTGGGGAAGAACATTCTGGATTTTGCCTCGACATATGAGTTGGCCGTGATGAACACCTGGTTCAAGAAAAGAGACTCTCACCTTGTGACCTATAGAAGTGGAGCTAATAGTATCCAAATTGACTACTTTTTAGTACGGACGACTTGGAGAACTAGCTACACTGATTGTAAGGTTATCCCCATGTAAGAGTGTTGTCACTCAACATAGGATGCTTGTGCTTGATTTTCAAGGTAAAATGAGAAAGCGGGTTAAGGTACAAGGGGAGCCAAAGATAAAGTGGTGGAGACTCGAGGGGAATCTCCAACAAACTTTTGCACAGAAAATGTTGGAGGAAAATGTTTGGTCCATTGATAATGACACACATGTGGATGATGTGTGGTTGTCAATGGAGTCCACCATTAACAAAATTGCGAAAGAGATGAAGAGGTGAATCTAAAGGATGTCTACCACCAAAAAAGAACACATCTTGGTGGAATGAAGAGGTGAAACGAGCAATAAGGACCAAAAGGGAATGCTATAAGAAATTGGGCAAAAGCTGGAGTGACGAGAACATAGAGGAGTACAAGGAGTACAAGGAAGAAGAGCAAAGAAAGATGTAAAGGAAGCAAGAGGAAAAGTGAACAAGGAATTGTATGCAAAATTGGACTCTAAGGAAGGAGAAAAAGATATTTACAGACTTGCTCGTCTTCGTGACCGTAGGACTCAAGATATCGGAAAAGTTAAGTGTGTGAAGGATGTCGATCAAAGGGTACTAATGGAGGATGGGGAAATAATGGAGAGGTGGAGGTCATACTTTGATACCTTGTTCAACGGGAATAAGGTGTAAGGTTTTGATGATCTTACTATACCTGAATGTATGGTAAATCGGGACTTTGTGAGAAGGATCCAAATAACAGAAGTTAAAGAGGCTATCAGAAAGATGGGGCAGAAGAAAGCAGTGGGCCCAGATGGCATACCGGTCGAGGCTTGGAGAAGTTTGGAAGAGAAAGGCATTGAGTTGCTAACACATTTCTTCAACATGATTTGGAGAAACAACAAAATGCCAATGAGTTGGCAGAAGAGTATTCTCATTCCCTTATTTAAAAATAAGGGTGATGTACAAGAATGTGCCAATTATTGAGGGATTAAGCTTATGAGTCACACTATGAAACTTTGGGAGCGGGTGGTTGAGCAAAGACTTCGAAAAAGTGTGAAAATTTCAGAAAATCAGTTTGGTTTTATGCTTGGACGCTCAAAAACTGAGGTCATTCACCTTCTTAGACAAGTTGTGGAGAAGTATAGAGACACTAAAAAGAATCTGCATTTGGTGTTCATTGACTTAGAAAAGGCGTATGATAGGGTACCTCGAGAAGTTCTTTGGTGGGCCTTAACTAGAAAATGCATATCACGTAAGTATATCAGTATCATCATGGATATGTATGAGCCTTGTACTACGAGTGTATGTACTAGTATAGGGAGGACCACATAGTTCCCTATTACTACCGGAGTGCACCAAGGATCGGCTCTGAGTCCCTTCTTATTTGTTATAGTCATGGACGAACTTACGAAGTCAATTCAAGAAGATATACCATGGTGCATGATGTTTGCCGATGATATTGTATTGATTGATGAGACATAATCGGGTGTTAAAGCAAAGTTAGAAGTATGACGACAAACTTTGGAGACCAAGGGTTTCAGACTAAGTCGGAGCAAGACTGAGTATATGGAGTGCAAGTTTTGTAAAGGTAGAAGTAGTAGCAACAGTGGGATTACTCTGGATGGTAAGAAAATACCAGTGTGTGATATGTTTCGTTATTTGGGCTCCATAATTCAGAAGGATGGTGAATTAGATGGAGATGTATCGCATAGAATCAGAGCTGGGTGGATGAAATGGAAGAGTGCATCAGGATTTCTTTGTGATCGAGGTATGTCGTCTAGACTGAAAGGTAAATTTTATCGAACAGCAATTAGGCATGCATTAATGTATGGCGTAGAGTGTTGGGCGGTGAAACAATGTCACTTTCAAAAGATGAGTGTGACAGATATGTGTATGTTGCGTTAGATGTGTGGACATACCAGAAAAGATCGCGTGAGGAATGAGGTAATCAGACAAAAGGTGGGAGTAACACCTATAGAAGAGAAGATGCAGGAGTCTCGTTTGCGGTGGTTTTGGCATGTGCGTCGAAGACCGAGTGATGCACTTGTTAGACGACTTGAGGGGTGGGGAGAAGAGACAGAGAGGAAAGGGAGGGGAAGACCTAAACAGACTTGAATTAGATGAATCAGAACTGATATGCGTCTTCGTGGGTTGGATGAGAGCATGACTTTAGAGAGGGCAAAGTGGAGGGCGTGTGGACGGTTGATATTTTTTTTCTTTTCCTCTCTCGTTTTCTTTTCTTTTCTTTTCTTTTCTTTTATTGCTTATCTTCTTTGTCTTTTCATGTTCTTATGTTATTTTTATGTTCTCCCTTTTTTATGTTCTTTTATCTTTCTTATATTCTTATATTTATCTATTTTTATAATATTCGTTTTATCTTTTTATTTCCTCTTGTTTGTCTTCTCTTTATGACTTCGATATAATGGACCGATTCATGTTAACCGACCGCAAAATCTTTTAGGATTAAGGCTTGGATGTATATGTGTATCTTTTCCAATTATATAAACTCCCTATAATTAACCGGACTGTTTTGAAGAGGATACGGTTCGGGTCCTGATTCAGTCAACATTTTGTCTCGTGCTTTATCCGCATCGTCTCTTTCTTTAATTAAAGACTGCCTTTGTGCCTCACCTCTGTTCACCTGAGACCATACGAGAGCCGAGCATAAGAATACCACAAGTGTAGAAGCTATAAAAAAACAACATAGATCGGAAAAGAAGAAATGTCATCGGAGAAACGATCTTCAAGGCCGCCATTATCGGAGACCCAGAACCTCTCTTGCCCACGTTGCCACTCCACCAACACCAAATTCTGCTACTACAACAACTACAACCTCTCCCAGCCGCGCCATTTCTGCAAGTCCTGCCGCCGTTACTGGACCCGCGGCGGATCCATCCGTAACGTCCCCGTCGGCGGCAGCCGCAGGCGCCCCTCCGGTAAACGCTCCCGCGCCGCAACTTCCCCGACACGCTCTGTTCGCTCCCCTGTTCCTGCGGCTCTTGGATTGCGTGCCGGGTCGGGTCGCGACGTGAATCTGAACGAGACGGTGTCTGGGCCCGAGACCGCCGGGAGTTTCACGTCTCTGCTGAGCTCCACGGCGGTGGACAGCGGTATTGAGTATGTGTTTGGGTCGAATGGGTTGGATTACGGGTTCGGGCTCTGCGACTGGGCGACCGAAGATATAGTCGGTGAAGCTGCTGGTGGAAGTGTCATTGGAAGCGTGGCTGCTCCGAGTTGGAACGCGTGGCGGACCGGCGGCGGAGAGATCGCTGAAGGCGGCCTCGCCGACGTCGGTGATTGTTTAGGCTGGCCGGAACTCGCCATTTCTGGACCCGAATGGAAATCTTGAATCGGCTAATGAAAATAATGGAAGGTTAATTGTGTTGAACCATGGATATGCGTATGGTTTTGTTTCTTTAATTACGTTTCACATGTCTAGTTAATTAACTGCTCAAAATTTGTAGGGTACTTAGTATATTACGAGTAATAGAAAACAGTGGTTCTAAACTTCTAATTACAGTGTTTTTAGCGCGTAGATACTCATCAAAAAGAGTCTGTTGATCTATCTCGAAGAAATGCAGTATTATTGACTCGTTATTAACTTATTATTACTTATTACCTTATTAGAGTTATTACCACTCCGTAATTCGTGAAAACAATAAAAATGCAAGTTTACGCTATTCTCCCTATCATAATAGTTGTAAATAATCTAATATTGGAATTTACACACTATTCATGTACTCTACCTTGATTATATTTTATTTATTAATGTATGTGGGTTATTTTTTTTGAAAAATAATATTAAATTCATCTCATTATAAAGTTTCACAATCTATTTTTTCAAAAAAAAAATTACTGATAAAGAATTAAATATAATGACGGTTAAATTTGTGCAACGGCAAACGTGAAAAAAAGAATGTTGCAACTCAAAAAGAATGAAGGAAGCTACTACATATATTTGAAATTTGGATGATTATAATATTTCTTTTAATGGCCATGCACGATAATTTGATAATACGTAGTATTTCATTTTGCACCATAGTAGTGACAAAAAAGAGTGGCCCAAAATGTGATTTTTATACATTAATCATCATATAATTACTACTATACGTAGTACTTTTAGTCATCATTATTCCCTCCTTCCCAATTTACTTAGTTAAACTTGATTTTTCAAGTCAATGGTACCTAACTTTGACAGATTATATATGTATATAGAGAAACTATTAGTAATATAAAAATTATATGAAAATGTTTTTTGTTAAAAATACTATTATAAAAGTATAAAATTATTAAATTTTTCATAAATATATTAGTTAAAATAATTGGTCGAAGTTTACCACCTTTGACAGGAAAAGTAAAGATTGGCTAACTAAATTGGGACGAAGGTAGTATAATGTTCAAATACATTAAAGTGGCCATGACGATTACTCATATATACTCTAATACTCCGTATTAACTTTAGTATGATCTTCATCCATAATTTATACAGTTCTTTTTTATTAGTTCTGTTAGGGTTTGGCACGAGTTTTAATAATAGACTAGTAGGGTAAGTACAGAGTGTGTAGGGTAATGATAAAATAGGAAAGATGGTATATGATAGAGTATTAATTCTAGAGAGAAGTGAGAGCTAGAGAGAGAAAGTGAGTAATTATATTTCCCAACTTAGAACCCCCTATAATTAGCCCCTTGGGGTCTATTTATAGGTAAAAATGTGGATTTGGGCCCCTAGCCTTGGGCTTAGGAGGCCCATTACAATAATCATGCCTTCTTTGGGCGAAATAAGGCCACTAATGGGCTGAGTACAACACTTAGTACATAAAATAGGAAAATACATTCTGTCCGGGCGAAGTTCGGACGATGCGGTCCACGGACGATGCGGTCTATAGACGATGCGGTCCATGGACGATGCGGTCCATGGACGATGCGGACTCTGGGCTTTACCCAAAGAATCCGGGTGATGTCTTCTCTCATGGATGTCGCGCGCCTATGGCCGATGCGGGTGTCCCCGCTGGTGTCTTTTGGGCCAATGAGTATGTGGGCCATGGGGTCCAGGCCCATATACTCTATCAGTATATTAAAAAGAGTAAAGTCGTGATAAAGTAGGAAATAGAGTGTATTAAGAAGAGTAAAGTGATGGTAAAGTAGGAAATAGAAAGTAGTTTGTAAAAAATAAGTGGGGTAAAAATAATAAAAGTAGGTGTATTTTCTCAAAAACTTTCCTTAAAAGGAAAGGAGGACAAATAAAAAAGCGTCTCAAAAAAGAAAGAAGAACTTATAAAAAAGAACGGAGGGAGTACGATAGTACTATTTTGATACGGAGTACTCGGTAATATTTATGGGGTTTGAAGAACTAACCACCCGTTTGGTAGCACGAAAATCGGCTGTTTTGGCTGACTCTGTTGAAATTTATAAAATTTTGGTTGAAATGGCTGCATGGCTGATTCTGCTGATTTAAGAAAAAAAATTAAGAATATATTTTATTAATAAAATAAAGAAAAAATTATCTTTAAAAATAGTTACAATGGTCATCTACAGTAACTTAAACTTTAGCCAATACAGCCTGAAAAGTAACATGAACCTTATTTTTTCTGCTTATTACACAATTCAGCCCATGAAAACAAAAGTTATGTGTTTGGTGAAAAAGTTGTCTGATAGACCTGTTAAGCCGAAAAACAGTGATTCCAAACGGCCTCTAAACCTTTGTGAAATACGAAGTATAAATTTGAAATATTAGCTCCATGTTATTTAAAAAATGTGTCAAACTTTCTCGTGGTATAGTTTAATTAGTCATGTATGTACAAAAATCATTTGATGAACAAATTTAATTGCCAAATAAATGAAAAATAACTACTCCTTCAATCTCATAAAATAGTTCTCACTTTCCGTTTTAGACCTATTACAATCATATATTTCTACTTTATTTACACTTTCTTAAACTCATATTCATGTCAAAGTGTGAACTATTTGATGGGAAAAGGAGCGTAGTTTTGTATAATTTAGAAATCCTGACAAAATTACTTGCATATGCAATCATATTATTAAGAATTGTACAGAACACAGAGAAATAAACCAAATAAAATAATTTAGTTTAAAAAAATGTATTTTTAGATAAACAAATATGAAAATTGGCAAAATTTAATGTATGGGTATTAAATTATGAGTAAACATAGAACTATGAATAGATTGTCTTTTTACCGTAGGAGTAGTAAATCCAATGACTCCAATGAGTATGTTTTTGAGTAAGTAGGGTATTATTTTGAGAAATACGAAGTGCTCTACTGTATTAATATAGGATAATACTTCGCAAAAATTAATGGATAAAGATAGAACTAGTGAACTACACACTTGATGGAAATCAAATCCTCCATATACAAATAACTGCGCAAAAATCTGTTCATAGTACAAGTCAATGCAGAGAAAAGAAAATGATAGTCTGATGTATAGATAACTGAGGACTGAGGGAATCCCTGAAACTGGCGGGGCATGCAGGAAGGACGACGTACCCTTTCTGTATCCAGAAACAATTTTGACTGCCATAGCCATCCTAGCTAGGGTACGTACTACTCCCAGTTTTGTACTCGATCTCACAGATTCGGCATACTGAAATGGGGGGTCCCACTTCTTACTCTAATTTGCGTCTCTTCTCCCTTCGACCAATCAAAAGCGGCGCGGATAACAGCATCAGTTCCTCTCATCAATCCCTTTCGAGGGCTCTGTACGTCTGGATCGAGGAAGGAACAGATACTTGATGAAGTGGAAGAGAAATGATTCATCATATTTGGGAGGATCCTAGAGAGAAGAAATAATCCGTGAGTTACGATCCTTCCACCACCATTACTATCCTTAGCTTGTAGAAACAAATGAGTACGTTGAGTTTTTATCTATGAATAATACTCCCTTCATCAATATTCAATTCAAACTTCCCAATCTAAAAAAGCAAAAAAAAACAAAAGAAGGGTACAATGTTCATTGTATAATCTAGTATTTTGTATTTAACAAAATGAGTGTTGATATGAAAGTTTAAAACGAATACAATATTTTTTCATGATAACTAAATGATAATATAGTTTAATGAATTGAATAAGTTGATTTATAGCTTATATATTACGTGTGGATCGTGATACTCAATTGCATGCTTCTAATACTCAATGGTTATTTTAGTCCAGTACAGATCTGATTCGGTCATATCCGGAACAATCCGATTTGGTCGAATAATGCCAGGACTCCTGGGTCATGTCCATTTAGTATCAATCTGGGCTCGTTGTTAAACAGTTACCCACCCCCTAGCTACAATATGCAGGTAGCGGTCGAGCCGATTCTTTTCCTGAATCGAACTAGAATCATTTGGGTAAATTCTGAGTATAGAAGCGAGTTTGATTTGTGTTTGTATCTTTCCCTCATCCCTCTTCATTGATCGGACAATGCATCTTTTGCCATCGACATTGTAAGTTTGACATTTTGGGTTCAGTTGTTGAGAGTAACGATTAGTATTTCCCAACTATCAGGAAGGGAGTTTAGAAGTAATAGAGATTGCATTTCATCTACAGGTGACATTTTTACACAAGATTATTGGTTTACCAAACTTTGGAACTCACCGTTATGCTATGTAACCGAAGTTTCAATGTGCAGCTTGATATAGACAAAATGCCTCATAAGTAGGGCCATGTTCCTAGCGGTGTTGGCCTTGTACATGTCTTCCAACTTCTTTTCAAGGGTGTAAGCGTCAGTTTCTTGTGTAACGTGGTGGGCTTCACTATGATCAATCCCCAATCGGATTTGACCAATAGTTTTTCTATTAACTTCTTCCACTCTATTGGTTTGGGTGGGTCACGATTTATAATATTATCAACTATATTAGATCAAATAGTTATTTATGGTTGAACGCATATTCCGTTTGAGGTTTCTACAACATGTACTTAGCAACAAACTAATCATAGCTCCACAAAATACTATTTGGAAAGAAAAAAAAGGGCTCATTGTCTCTAGAACGGTCGAAAATGGTAGGGTAGACACTTCACAGTCAAAATACAATTTCGAAAATTTATAGGTGAGCTTCATAAATTCTCAAAAGTCGAGGAACTAAATTGCACTTCTTCAAAACTCCTCCATCCGTTCCTAATAACTTTATCAAGTTTGACTGTCACGAGGTTTAGTAAAGTAAAAATTATGTTGTTGAGGTCTGTGTAGAGGAGAGAGAATTAACTGGAACTACAAATTCTTTACTTAAAAGGGAAAGTGACAAAGTTAATGGGATATCCAAAAAAGTAAAGTTGACAAAGTAATAAGGGACAGATGGAGTATAATAAATGACCAAAGATGTGGTAGCTGATGCGGCATGTTGTGGTGCTTACTAGGTGACAAGTGGCACATGACTTAGAGCATCTCCATTCATGATATTCAAATAAACGGTTTTTCTAGTATACCTAATTGTCATGTCATTCTTACACATTAAATTCTTAATAATCTCAAAGCTTAAAATTATTCATCAACAATGATATTCATATAGTTAGCTTTTTATGACATGCATTAAATGCATTTTAACTATAATCTACAATAATCCGGGATTTGAATCTTGATACCGAATTTTCTTTTTAAAT